TACACATCACCCAACATACACATCACAACACTACCACATCACCAGCAACACTACCACATCAGTAGCAACATACCACATCACCAGCAACACTACCACATCACCAGCAACACTACCACATCACCAGCAACACTACCACATCCCAGCAACACTACCACATCACCAGCAACACTACCACATCACCAGCAACACTACCACATCACCAGCAACACTACCACATCACCAGCAACACTACCACATCAGTAGCAACACTACCACATCACCAGCAACACTACCACATCGCCAGCAACACTACCACATCACCAGCAACACTACCACATCACCAGCACATACCACATCATGCAACACTACCACATCACCAGCAACACTACCACATCGCCAGCAACACTACCACATCACCAGCAACACTACCACATCGCAGCAACACTACCACATCACCAGCAACACTACCACATCAACCACAACACTACCACATCACCAGCAACACTACCACTCACACCTACCACTCACAGCAACACTACCACATCATACAACACTACCACATCACAGCAACACTACCACATCAACAACACTACCACATCACCAGCAACACTACCACATCACCAGCAACACTACCACATCAACAACACTACCACATCAGTAGCAACACTACCACATCAACAACACTACCACATCACCAGCAACACTACCACATCACCAGCAACACTACCACATCCCACAACACTACCACATCAGTAGCAACACTACCACATCAACAACACTACCACATCACCAGCAACACTACACATCGCCAGCAACACTACCACATCACCAGCAACACTACCACATCACCAGCAACACTACCACATCACCAGCAACACTACCACATCACCAGCAACACTACCACATCACCAGCAACACTACCACATCACCAGCAACACTACCACATCACCAGCAACACTACCACATCACCAGCAACACTACCACATCACACAACACTACCACATCACCAGCAACACTACCACATCACCAGCAACACTACCACATCACCAGCAACACTACACATCACCCACACACCACTCACGCAACACTACCACATCCCAGCAACACTACCACACACCAGCAACACTACCACATCACCAGCAACACTACCACATCACCAGCAACACTACCACATCACCAGCAACACTACCACATCACCAGCAACACTACCACATCACAGCAACACTACCACATCACCAGCAACACTACCACATCACCAGCAACACTACCACATCACCAGCAACACTACCACATCACAGCAACACTACCACATCACCAGCAACACTACCACATCACAGCAACACTACCACATCACCAGCAACACTACCACATCACCAGCAACACTACACATCACACAACACTACCACATCACCAGCAACACTACCACAGCACTATACACTACCACATCATCAGCAACACTACCACATCACCAGCAACACTACCACATCACCAGCAACACTACCACATCACCAGCAACACTACCACATCACCAGCAACACTACCACAGCACTAGTAACACTACCACAGCACTAGCAACACTACCACATCACCAGCAACACTACCACATCACCAGCAACACTACCACATCACCAGCAACACTACCACATCACCAGCAACACTACCACATCAGTAGCAACATTACCACATCACCAGCAACACTACCACAGCACTAGTAACACTACCACATCACCAGCAACACTACCACATCACCAGCAACACTACCACATCACCAGCAACACTACCACAGCACTAGCAACACTACCACATCACCAGCAACACTACCACATCACCAGCAACACTACCACATCACCAGCAACACTACCACATCACCAGCAACACTACCACATCACCAGCAACACTACCACATCACCAGCAACACTACCACATCACCAGCAACACTACCACATCACCAGCAACACTACCACATCACCAGCAACACTACCACATCACCAGCAACACTACCACATCACCAGCAACACTACCACATCAGTAGCAACATTACCACATCACCAGCAACACTACCACAGCACTAGTAACACTACCACATCACCAGCAACACTACCACATCACCAGCAACACTACCACATCACCAGCAACACTACCACAGCACTAGCAACACTACCACATCACCAGCAACACTACCACATCACCAGCAACACTACCACATCACCAGCAACACTACCACATCACCAGCAACACTACCACATCACCAGCAACACTACCACATCACCAGCAACACTACCACATCACCAGCAACACTACCACATCACCAGCAACACTACCACATCACCAGCAACACTACCACATCAGTAGCAACACTACCACATCACCAGCAACACTACCACATCACCAGCAACACTACCACATCACCAGCAACACTACCACATCACCAGCAACACTACCACATCAGTAGCAACACTACCACATCACCAGCAACACTACCACATCACCAGCAACACTACCACATCACCAGCAACACTACCACATCACCAGCAACACTACCACATCAGTAGCAACACTACCACATCAGTAGCAACACTACCACATCATCAGCAACACTACCACATCATCAGCAACACTACCACATCAGTAGCAACACTACCACATCATCAGCAACACTACCACATCATCAGCAACATTACCACATCATCAGCAACACTACCACATCAGTAGCAACACTACCACATCACCAGCAACACTACCACATCACCAGCAACACTACCACATCACCAGCAACACTACCACATCACCAGCAACACTACCACATCAGTAGCAACACTACCACATCATCAGCAACACTACCACATCATCAGCAACACTACCACATCAGTAGCAACACTACCACATCACCAGCAACACTACCACATCAGTAGCAACATTACCACATCACCAGCAACACTACCACATCACCAGCAACACTACCACATCAGTAGCAACATTACCACATCACCAGCAACATTACCACATCACCAGCAACACTACCACATCACCAGCAACACTACCACATCACCAGCAACACTACCACATCACCAGCAACACTACCACATCACCAGCAACACTACCACATCACCAGCAACACTACCACATCACCAGCAACACTACCACATCACCAGCAACACTACCACATCACCAGCAACACTACCACATCACCAGCAACACTACCACATCATCAGCAACACTACCACATCACCAGCAACACTACCACATCACCAGCAACACTACCACATCACCAGCAACACTACCACATCATCAGCAACACTACCACATCACCAGCAACACTACCACATCACCAGCAACACTACCACATCACCAGCAACACTACCACATCAGTAGCAACACTACCACATCACCAGCAACACTACCACATCACCAGCAACACTACCACATCATCAGCAACACTACCACATCACCAGCAACACTACCACATCACCAGCAACACTACCACATCACCAGCAACACTACCACATCAGTAGCAACACTACCACATCATCAGCAACACTACCACATCATCAGCAACACTACCACATCACCAGCAACACTACCACATCAACAACACTACCACATCACCAGCAACACTACCACATCACCAGCAACACTACCACATCATCAGCAACATTACCACATCACCAGCAACACTACCACATCACCAGCAACACTACCACATCACCAGCAACACTACCACATCAGTAGCAACACTACCACATCACCAGCAACACTACCACATCACCAGCAACACTACCACATCACCAGCAACACTACCACATCACCAGCAACACTACCACATCACCAGCAACACTACCACATCACCAGCAACACTACCACATCACCAGCAACACTACCACATCATCAGCAACACTACCACATCACCAGCAACACTACCACATCACCAGCAACACTACCACAGCACTAGTAACACTACCACATCATCAGCAACACTACCACATCACCAGCAACACTACCACATCACCAGCAACACTACCACATCACCAGCAACACTACCACATCACCAGCAACACTACCACAGCACTAGTAACACTACCACAGCACTAGCAACACTACCACATCACCAGCAACACTACCACATCACCAGCAACACTACCACAGCACTAGCAACACTACCACATCACCAGCAACACTACCACATCACCAGCAACACTACCACATCACCAGCAACACTACCACATCACTAGCAACACTACCACATCACCAGCAACACTACCACATCACCAGCAACACTACCACATCACCAGCAACACTACCACATCACCAGCAACACTACCACAGCACTAGTAACACTACCACAGCACTAGCAACACTACCACATCACCAGCAACACTACCACATCACCAGCAACACTACCACATCACCAGCAACACTACCACATCACCAGCAACACTACCACATCAGTAGCAACACTACCACATCACCAGCAACACTACCACATCACCAGCAACACTACCACATCAGTAGCAACATTACCACATCACCAGCAACACTACCACATCATCAGCTATATTTGCATATCGTTCATCATTTAGAAGTTTGTGTCATATCGAGACACTCACGGGTTTCCAAGAACTGCTGGATCGTCATGTGCAGGAAATGGTGAGGCTTCGCCTCTTTTGCACCTCGCTGTCCACCACTAGTGTACCTGTTCCACCCCCTTCCCTGGTTCCTGTCCCACCTCCACTCCGTTGCTTTGCCCTCCCCAGTGTGCCTCACCCTTCCCCTTCCCGGTGCATGGTCCGCCGCCTGACTATATAATGCATCCACGTCAACCACTCCTCTCTCAGTATCCTCTGTGTCCAGGTGAGTGGCGACGCCTTCTGTGTGTTAAGTGTTGATAGTAGAGCTTGTAGCATCCATCAGTCATATATGGTGACTAGAAAAGACTGATGATTCATATCAAATATTGATAGACAATATTTCTCTCATGATTGAGCGAATACTTCGTCTTAAATAAGGTTACTATTTTCCCAGGAATACGTGGGAACTTGCTATCTCGGGAGCTTCCCAGAGTTGGTCAGTCCACTACCTGCACTCTATCACTGTTGGAGTCACCCCTTTATTTTTTGTACAAATTGGTTAGGAACATTAAATATAATATATATATATATATATATATATATATATATATATATATATAAAATATATATATGTATATATATATATACTCTATGGCTAAAGAAATACTCGTAACATCTCTGTGACTCACATGATTGTTCAACTTCCTGTGTTGTGTATGTGTAATCACCTAATTTTGGTTTCATGGGTCGAGTCATAGCTTCTCGCCCTGCCTCTTCACTGGTCGCCATTTAGTCCTCTCTCTCCCTGCTCCATTAGCTTCATCCTACGTCTTTTTAAAGCAATGTATGGTACCTGCCTACACTACCTCACTCTCCAGACTACTCCACTTCCTGGCAACTATATGACTTAAGGACATAAGAAGGACATAAGAATGAAGGAACACTGCAGCACGCCTACTGGCCCATGCGAGGCAGGTCTAAGTCTCCTACCGGCTTAAGCCAATGCACCCAACTTAGTCAGGTCAGGTCATATTGACTTAAGGGAGGAACACGGCAACCGACCTGGTACCACAAGGTATCAGGTCCAACTCACACCCACCCACATCCACTCATGTATTTATCCAACCTATTTTTAAAGCTACACAACGTTCTGGCCTCTGTAACTGTACTTGGGAGTTTATTCCACTCATCCACAACTCTATTACCAAACCAGTACTTTCCTATATCCTTCCTGAATCTGAATTTTTCCAACTTAAAACCATTGCTGCGAGTCCCGTCTAGGCTAGATATTTTCAGCACACTATTTACATCCCCTTTATTTATTCCTGTCTTCCATTTATACACCTCAATCATATCCCCCCTAATTCTACGTCTTTCTAGAGAGTGCAGATTCAGGGCCCTTAGTCTATCCTCATAGGGAAGGTTTCTGATACATGGGATCAACTTTGTCACCCTCCATTGTACATTTTCCAGAGCTTTTATATCCATTCTGTAATACGGTGACCAAAACTGTGCAGCATAATCAAAATGAGGCCTAACAAGGATGTATAGAGTTGAAGAACAACCTGAGGACTCCTATTATTTATGCTTCTTGATATGAACCCAAGGATTCTATTCGCTTTATTGCGAACACTTATGCACTGTTGTTTTGGGTTTTCAGTTTTACTGCAAACCCAGAACTCCTAAATCTTTTTCGCAATCCTTTAATTTTAAGATCTACATTATTTAGTTTATATGTGGCAAGGGGGTGGGAAGAGGTATGGGGTAGGTTTAAAAATGTAGTGTTAGAGTGTTCAGCAGAAGTTTGTGGTTACAGGAAAGTGGGTTTGCAGGAGGGAAGAGGAGCGATTGGTGGAATGATGATGTAAAGAGAGTAGTAAGGGAGAAAAAGTTGGGCATATGAGAAGTTTTTACAAAGTAGAAGTGATGCAAGGAGGGAAGAGTATATGGAGAAAAAGAGAGAGGTTAAGAGAGTGGTGAAAGCAATGTAAAAAGAGAGCAAATGAGAGAGTGGGTGAGATGTTATCAACAAATTTTGTTGAAAATAAGAAAAAGTTTTGGATTTGGATTAACAAGTTAAGAAAGCCTAGAGAACAAATTGATTTGTCAGTTAAAAATAGGAGAGGAGAGTTATTAAATGGAGAGTTAGAGGTATTGGGAAGATGGAAGGAATATTTTGAGGAATTGTTAAATGTTGATGAAGATAGGGAAGCTGTGATTTCGTGTATAGGGCAAGGAGGAATAACTCTTGTGGGAAAGTGAGGAAGGGAGCCAGTTGTGAGTGTGGGGGAAGTTCGTGAGGCAGTAGGTAAATGAAAGGGGGTAGAAAGGCAGCCGGGATTGATGGGATAAAGTAGAAATGTTAAAAGCAGGTGGGGATATAGTTTTGGAGTGGTTGGTGCATTATTTAATAAATGTATGGAAGAGGGTAAGGTACTAGGGATTGGCAGAGAGCATGCATAGTTCCTTTGTATAAAGGCAAAGGGGATAAAAGAGAGTGCAAAAATTATAGGGGGATAAGTCTGTTGATTTGTACCTGGTAAAGTGTATGGTAGAGTTATAATTGAAAGAATTAAGAGTAAGACGGAGAATAGGATAGCAGATGAACAAGGAGGCTTTAGGAAGGTTAGGGGGTGTGTGGACCAGGTGTTTACAGTGAAACATATAGTGAACAGTATTTAGATAAGGCTAAAGAGGTCTTTGTGGCATTTATGGTTTTGGAAAAGGCGTATGACAGGGTGGATAGGGGGGCAATGTGGCAGATGTTGCAAGTGTATGGTGTAGGAGGTAGGTTACTGAAAGCAGTGAAGAGTTTTTACGAGGATAGTGAGGCTCAAGTTAGGTATGTAGGAAAGAGGGAAATTTTTTCCCAGTAAAAGTAGGCCTTAGACAAGGATGTGTGATGTCACCGTGGTTGTTTAATATATTTATAGATGGGGTTGTAAGAGAAGTAAATGCGAGGGTCTTGGCAAGAGGGGGTGGAGTTAAAAGATAAAAAATTTACACACAAAGTGGGGGTTGTCACAGCTGCTCTTTGCTGATGACACTGTGCTCTTGGGGATTCTGAAGAGAAGTTGCAGAGATTGGTGGATGAATTTGGTAGGGTGTGCCCAAAAAAAGAAATTTAAAGGTGAATACAGGAAAGAGTAAGGTTATGAGGATAACAAAAAGATTAGGTGATGAAAGATTGAATTTCAGATTGGAGGGGAGAGTATGGGGGAGGTGAACCGTATTCAGATATTTGGGAGTGGACGTGTCAGCGGATGGGTCTATGAAAGATGAGGTGAATCTAGAATTGATGAGGGAAAAAGAGTGAGTGGTGCACTTAGGTGTCTGTGGAGACAAAGAACTTTGTCCTTGGAGGCAAAGAGGGGAATGTATGAGAGTATAGTTTTACCAACGCTCTTATATGGGTGTGAAGCGTGGGTGATGAATGGTTGCAGCGAGAGGAGAGGCTGGAGGCAGTGGAGATGTCATGTCTGAGGGCAAAAGTGTGGTGTGAATATAATGCAGAGAATTGTAGTTTGGAAGTTAGGAGGAGGTGCGGGATTACCAAAACTGTTGTCCAGAGGGCTGAGGAAGGGTTGTTGAGGTGGTTCGGACATGTAGAGAGAATGGAGCCGAAAAAGAATGACTTCAAGAGTGTATCAGTCTGTAGTGGAAGGAAGGCGGGGTAGGGGTCGGCCCTAGGAAGGGTTGGAGGGAGGGGGGTAAAAGGAGGTTTTGTTGTGCGAGGGGCTTTGGGCTTCCAGCAGGCATGCGTGAGCGTGTTTGATAGGAGTGAATGGAGACAAATGGTTTTTATACTTGACGTGCTGTTGGAGTGTGAGCAAAGTAACATTTATGAAGGGATTCAGGGAAACCGGCAGGCCGGACTTGAGTTCTGGAGATGGGAAGTACAGTGCCTGCACTTGAAGGAGGGGTGTTAATGTTGCAGTTTAAAAACTGTAGTGTAAAGCACCCTTCTGGCAAGACAGTTTATGGAGTGAATGTGGTGAAAGTTTTTCTTTTTTGGGCCACCCTGCCTTGGTGGGAATCGGCCGGTGTGATAATAAAAAAAAAAATGTGGCATGGTTATTGTCCTGTCCAACATTTCGAACTTTACTTTGTCTCTATTACTGCATCTGCCACTTCTCGACCACTGCATCAGTCTATTCAAATCTTCCTGGAGTGCTCTAATTTTCCTCGTCAGAATGAATTCGACGGCCTATTTTGGTTGTCATCTGGGAAACTTTGCTGATTTCGCTCTTATGCCTCATCTTGTCGATTATGTAGATTGTGAACAGCAGGGGGCCCCAACACTGACCCTGTGGAACACTGCTCGTGACGCTTCCCCACTCTGATTTCTCCCCATTTATGCAAACTCTCTGCTGCCTATTTGTCAATATGCTCTATCCAGGAAAAAATTTCTCCCCCTATTCCATGTGCCTTTAAATTTTCCTCAATTGTCTCTGATGTGGGACCCTGTCGAAAGCCTTACTGAAGTCCATATACACATATCATATTCATTACCATGATCTACCACCTCAAATACCTTAGTGAAAAAAAATTAATTAAATTCGTAAGGCAGGAACGCCCTTTGTAAAACCATGCTGAGATTCGTTGATTAATTTATACTTTTCAAGGTGGCTACGAATTTCCTCGGCAATTATTGAAATTTCCATAAATTTTCCCACTATGGAGGTTAGGCTTATTGGTCTATAGTTCGAAGCTAAGGACCTGTCACCTGCTTTGAAAATAGGTATCACATTTGCCATTTTCCACTTATCTGGCACCATGCCAGTTTGTAGTGATATGTTGAAAAGATTAGCCAAAGGTTTGCTAAGCTCCTCTTTACATTCCTTTAGAACCTTGCATACAGTTCATCAGGGCCTGGGGATTTGTTAGGTTTTAATTTATTTATTTGCCTAAGGACCATGTCACTTGTGACCCTAATCGTGCACAGTTTATTATCGTCCTGTTCTACATAATTTATCATTACTGGAATATCGCTGGTATCCTCCTGTGTAAAAACTGAGAGGAAGTATGTGTTAAAATTCTACACATTTCCTTATCACTGTCAGTGAGCTGACCTGAGGAACTTTTGAGTGGGCCTGTCTTGTCCCTGATCTTACTTCTGTATACCTGAAAGAATCGTTTTGGGTTAGTCTTCGATTCTCTTGCAACTTTAACCTCATAATCTCTTTTTGCTTTTCTAATTCCCTTTTTTATTTCTCTCTTTAACTGAATATATCGATTTCTTAATTGCCCCCCTCCTCTTTTGATTTGCCTATATATGCCTCTCTTTTGACCAATCAGATATTTTAATCTATTGTTCATCCATTTAGGATCATTTTTGTTTGATCTGATTTCCCTATTTGGAACATAATTTGACTGAGCAGCTAGAACTATGCCCTGGAAAGCGTCATATCGGCAACCATCACCACCTACCTGACCCTTAGTCAGGTCATTCCAGTTCAGCCCACCTAAGTAATTTTTCAGTCCTATGAAATCAGC